AACTTTATTTTTTATTCCTGGCCGCTCCTTATTCAAGTACCAAGACGAGAACCTAGCGGGTCAAGAAGAGGACTTTCAAAAATAATTGACCCAACGGTGTCTTTTGCACTCCTATTAGGAGGTAAGAGTGATATTACTAACTGTGAGACCCTGCCGCAACAACATCATATACCTCAAAATTCTCTCAACCCCACTCACACCAAATTCCTCACATTTCAAGATCCCTTGTTACTCCTTTGATATCCCTTCTCACCAATCTTTATCACATTTTATTCTTCCCAGAAAAATCCTTAAATGACTTCCAATAAACCTATATCTATTCTCCTTTGGAATGCGAATGGTGTTAGGAATCATACAGACGAACTAACTAAATTATTACTTGACAAGAGTATTGACGTGGCACTAATTACTAAAACTCGACTAACCACTAAACATCACTTCAAAATACCACAATATATGACATATCGTACTGACCACCCTGACGGAAAAGCACATACCGGTACTACTGTCGTTGTACACCAATCCCTCTCCCATCACCTACTCCCATTACCTGTACATGATTTCCTACAGTCCACCGCTATCGTGATAAAAACCTTCTCCTTTCCGGTTACTCTTGCATTAGCGTAGTGCCCTCCTAACCGATCCATATCCAATACCCAATTCAGTTATCTCCTCGACTCCTTAGAACGTCACTTCATCTTGGGTGCAGACTTAAAAGCCAAGCACCAACAATAGGGTTCTAGAACCACAAATTCTGCTGTCTGCACCTAATTCCCAACGTGTTCACCTCCTTTCCCCCAACTCTCCTACCTACTGGCCCACAGATTCTAACCGTAATCGTGATATCCTTGATTTCCTTATCCACAGCGTCTTAGGTTCCCTCAATTGTTCCATTATTCATCTAAATGAATTTTCCTCTGACCATAGTCCTCTAGTCCTTAATTTTTCACTTGTGCCCGCTCCTAAACCTTTTCTACCGTCATTTACTAGTGGCCCAGTTAACTTGGACCTTTTCCGCCAAATCCTTTCCGATAGAATTAATCTCAATATATCCCCAAAAACCCCCGATGACCTTGATAGTGCCGTCAATTCCTTTACTACCACAATCAACAAGCTGCCTGGACTGCCTCCTTTCCAAAAGACTCCTCCAAGAATTCCTAAAAAGATCATTCTACCCAACACCTCTATGATCCTAATCCATATAAAACGCCTTAGCACAATATTATGGCAACATACTCGACATCCTACCGACCGCTGCTCCAATAATTATTACTGCGAACAGTTAAAACTGGAATTAACCACCTTCAGATCACAATCCTTTAACCTACCGTCCATCTCTTCTCGCGGCGATTCTCTTTGGTAAAACCGCAACACAAATTATAAATTTTCACCACAATTCCCATCCACTCCGATGAGATGACGGTTCTTGGGCAGCATCTGAAAAAGATAAAGCTGCGGAGTTCACCATTCACATATCCATACATTTATTTCACATCCGGAATCCCATGCTGCCCACACCGTAACAGTAGAAGATCTCCTTACATCACCAATTCCACTTTCCTTGCCCCCTAAAGCTATTCATCCTTGTGAAGTGAAATTTCAATTTAAAAAAACTAATCCCACGTAAAGCTTCTGAATATGATATCCTTACCCTCAATCCTTCGACAACTTCCATCCAAAGCAGTCATATTCCTTACATATATCTACAATTGTATCCTACGCACCACCACTTTCCTCTGCTATGGAAACACTCCACTATAATCCTTTTCCCAAAACCTCCCAACAGCTTAACTTCTTACAGACCAATTAGCCTACTGCCAATCCTTTCAAAATTTTATGAAAAGATCCTTTTGAAACAAATCCTACCCATTATAGAATCCCAAAATATTCCTTGCCATCAGTTTGGTTTTCGCTCTCAACATTCCACTGTTTAACAAGGACTCCGAGTTGTTGACCATATTTCCTCATCTCTAGAAAACAAGGAATACTGTTCGGGTGCATTTCTGGACATTGCACAGGCATTTGAACGGGTATGGCACGCCGGATTGCTCTTCAAGCTTAAAATCCATTTATCTCAGTCCTTATACCTAGTCCTCTGATCCTACCTCTCAAAACACTCCTTTCGAGTTCGCTGTGGAACAGAATTTTCCAATATCTACTCCGTTAAAGCCGGTGTTCCCCAAGGCAGCGTCTTGGATCCCGTGCTTTACATGCTCTTTACTGCTGACATCCCTGTTCATCCCGATAATATCTTTGCAACATTCGCTGACGACACCGCAATCTTATCATCCAACTCTGATCCCGAAATAGCATCCTTAAATCTCCAAACGCACGTCACCTTTATTGAGCACTGGTGTAATAATTAGTGCATTAAAGTTTTATTGTTTGTTTGTTAATTTAATGAAATTTACAACTGTATACAAATAAAACTAGTAAATATTCACAAATTATAAATAATGTCATGAACAGGCTTGAAGAGATACCACCTAGTGGTAGCATTCCCTAAATAATTCTAAGTAAGTAGATCTCGAGCCCATCTCATTTTCTGTCGCCTAGGAGGATTATCAGGTATCAAGGAAGAAGTAAGAGTGGAAACAAAAGGATTTGGATGGGACTGGAGTTTATCATGAAAGGATATATATCTGGCTCGGGCTAATTTAGCGACATACATTAAAGTTTTTTTATTTTATTTTTATTTGAAAAGCAATAAATTCTGCCACAACATTAAAGTGAACGAATCTAAATGCAAATACATTATCTTCACACTCTGCCGCAGATCCTGTCCATCAGTCCACTTTAATTCCATCTAGCTTCCTTTTTCAGACACGGTCCGGTATCTTGGTTTTATCTTAGACCGAGACAAACGTGGAACCCACATACTAGACATAACCGACGATACAGCCAATTATACAGACTACTGACCAGAAAATCGCAACTTTCAATTGACAACAAATTACTGATCTACAAGACAATCCTGAAACTAATTGGGACCTCCGGACTTGAACTTTGGGGGACAGCAAAATTCTCTAACATCAAACTCATTCAACCCTTTCAATCCAAAGTCCTCCAAACAATAGTCGATGCTCCGTTCTATGTAACCAACAAAACACTACCTTATGACCTTAATATCCCATTTGTCCTTGACCTTATCTCTGAAAATTTTTCGAAATTCCATCAGAACCTTATCAATAATCCAAATCCCCTAGCTCAATCCCTATCTACTTCCACTCATCCCTACAACCCTCCTCGAAGGTTGAAGCGGCAGTGGCCCAGAGATCTTTTATAGTATTTATTTTGGAGTTCTGGCAATGGCCAGATTCTCCACTCAAGACATGAGTGTATGTGGCTAAAGCGCTCTCGCTCAAACTTCACCGGCTTTAGCACCAGTGAGGCGGTTGAGAGAATAGCGAAGGGATTTGGGTTCCCCGCCTGATTGTATATATTGTATATAGGTATGATTGTATTTTTATGTTTTTAATTTACTTATATTTAGGTTATTTTTTTTATTGTATATAGTTTTTATTTATTATTATTTAGTTATTATTTTACTTTTGTTAATTTTGTTTCTTGTTTGTATGTACGGTGGGAATGTGTTCATTTATCAATATAATTATTGTCCCTGTGACAGAATATTATATGTCTAAATTAATAAAAAAAAAAAAATGTCTGCATTCTTTATTGTAAAGTGTGAGTGTGCTCTCTGAACACTATTATAAATGTCCTTAATTGTGACAGAATGTAATATTTCTGAATAAATAAATTAAAAAAAAAATTTGAGTTCTAGCAATGGATAGTTTCTCTTCATGTTGTACATGTAAAGTTATGAATGTCCCAGTTACGTGTTTTTCATGCAATACAGTTGTAAATTTCATTCAAATAAAAAAATCAAAATAATTTATGCTTTTCTGCCAAATGCACTATTAATTTTCTTAGATATTTTAAATTTTAGTTTTAGGTTTAATAATTTTATTAAATACATTATTTAGTGTCTGACTAGTAAAAATCAGGTTTCTATAACATATGACTGTCGTTTATTGTTCATGATTGACTATTAGATTTTTTTTAACATTTTAATTTTACTTTTGCAGTTTCTTTTTCAGTAACAGTGGCTTAGGAATTCAGGTGGCTGATTTTCAGTAACAGTGGATATATAATTTTTCGTATGATTATGTTTTGTTTTTTTAATTTTGGATGCTTAACAGCATTACATAATAAAGAAAGTGGCAATTTAATGCACGACTACTAAAAGACAGGTCTCTATAACATGTAACTATCGTTTGTTTCATTTAGTTTTTACATTCCCATTTAGTTTTTGTTTTTTTGTATAATGAATCTCTGTTATTATTTTTTTTGAATTTAGTGGTAGTTTTCATAATTTCTCTGTCTCTAAATAACGAATTTCTTGGAGTTCGTATATAACTATCGTTTGTAATGTACGGTGTCATAATATACCAGATTGTTTTATTTTTTTTAATGTTTCTCCGGCGATTGTTCATGATTGATAATTCTTTTTTTTACATTTTAGATTTTATTAATTTATATTTTTCAGTTTCTTCATCCCTATATTAACAACAGATATTTAATTTTTTGTGTAATTATGTTTTTTTTTTTAATTTTGGCTGCTTAACAGCAATAAAGAAATTGGTAATTTATGCTTCTCTGCCGAATAAACTATTTCTTTTCCTAAATATTTTACAATTTGATTTTAGGCTTAATTATTTTATTAAATGCATTATTTAACGAGTGACTAATAAAAGACAAGTCTCTATAACATATAACTATCGTTTGTTTCATTTAGTTTTTACATTCCCATGTCGAGGAATCGTACTAAGGTTTGATAATAATCAATTTTCACCATTTTTCCTAGATTAAAAATAACATTAAAGTGTTTCTAGGAAACAGATCACGTATCCTAGGAGCTCGATATTCAAAAATCCCAAAACGCTAATTCACAGTGAATTTGTGTAATTCAAGGAAGTAAGACAAGAAAAAAATGTTTAATGAATGCAAATGAAAATTTGATGAATCCAAAACCAAATAGACTATTAGAAGAATTCTTTATCGCATGGAGAAGAATATACAAGGTATGTTTTTGTTTTTTTGTATAATAAATCTCTGTTATTATTTTTTTTTAATTTAGTGGTAGTTTTCATAATTTCTCTATCTCTAAATAACGAATTTCTTGGAGTTCGTATATAACTATCGTTTGTAATGTACGGTGTCATAATATACTAGATTGTTTTATTTTTTTAAATGTTTCTCCGGCTATTGTTCATGATTGATAATTCTTTCTTTAACATTTTAGATTTTATTAATTTATACTTTTTAAGTTTCTTCATCCCTATAATAACAACGGATATTTAATTTTTTATGTAATTATGTTTTTTTTAAATTTTGGCCTCTTAACAGCAACACATAATAAAGAAATTCGTAATTCATGCTTCTCTGCCGAATAAACTATTTCTTTTCCTAAATATTTTACAATTTGGTTTTAGGCTAAATTATTTTATTAAATGCATTATTTAATGCGTGACTAATAAAAGACAAGTCTCTATAACATATAACTATCGTTTGTTTCATTTAGTTTTTACATTCCCATGTCGAGGAATCGTACTAAGGTTTGATAATAATCAATTTTCACCATTTTTCCTAGCTTAAAAATAACATTAAAGTGTTTCTAGGAAACAGATCACGTATCCTACGAGCTCGATATTCAAAAATCAAAAAACGCTAATTCACAGTCAATTTGTGTAATTCAAGGAAGTTAGACAAGAAAAAAATGTTTAATGAATGCAAATGAAAATTTGATGAATTCAAAACCAAATAGACTATTAGAAGAATTCTTTATCGCATGGAGAAGAATATACAAGGTATGTTATTGTTTTTTTGTATAATAAATCTCTGTTATTATTTTTTTTGAATTTAGTGGTAGTTTTCATAATTTCTCTGTCTCTAAATAACGAATTTCTTGGAGTTCGTATATAACTATCGTTTGTAATGTACGGTGTCATAATATACCAGATTGTTTTACTTTTTTTAATGTTTCTCCGGCTATTGTTCATGATTGATAATTCTTTTTTTAACATTTTAGATTTTATTAATTTATATTTTGCAGTTTCTTCATCCCTATATTAACAACAGATATTTAATTTTTTATGTAATTATGTTTTTTTTTTTATTTTGGCTGCTTAACAGCAATAAAGAAATTGGTAATTTATGTTTCTCTGCCGAATAAACTATTTCTTTTCCTAAATATTTTAAATTTGGTTTTAGGCTAAATTATTTTATTAAATGCATTATTTAATGCGTGACTAATAAAAGACAAGTCTATATAACATATAACTATGGTTTGTTTCATTTAGTTTTTACATTCCCATGTAGAGGAATCGTACTAAGGTTTGATAAAAATCAATTTTCACCATTTTCCCTAGCTTAAAAATAACATTAAAGTGTTTCTAGGAAACAGATCACGTATCCTAGGAGCTCGATATTCAAAAGTCCCAAAACGCTAATTCACAGTCAATTTGTGTAATTCAAGGAAGCTAGACAAGAAAAAAATGTTTAATGAATGCAAATGAAAATTTGATGAATTCAAAACCAAATAGACTATTAGAAGAATTCTTTATCGCATGGAGAAGAATATACAAGGTATGTTATTGTTTTTTTGTATAATAAATCTCTGTTATTATTTTTTTTGAATTTAGTGGTAGTTTTCATAATTTCTCTGTCTCTAAATAACGAATTTCTTGGAGTTCGTATATAAATATCGTTTGTAATGTACGGTGTCTTAATATACCAGATTGTTTTATTTTTTTTTAATGTTTCTCCGGCTATTGTTCATGATTGATAATTCTTTTTTTAACATTTTAGATTTTATTAATTTATATTTTGCAGTTTCTTCATCCCTATATTAACAACGGATATTTAATTTTTTATGTAATTATGTTGTTTTTTTTTATTTTGGCTGCTTAACAGCAATAAAGAAATTGGTAATTTATGTTTCTCTGCCGAATAAACTATTTCTTTTCCTAAATATTTTAAATTTGGTTTTAGGCTAAATTATTTTATTAAATGCATTATTTAATGCGTGACTAATAAAAGACAAGTCTATATAACATATAACTATGGTTTGTTTCATTTAGTTTTTACATTCCCATGTAAAGGAATCGTACTAAGGTTTGATAAAAATCAATTTTCACCATTTTCCCTAGCTTAAAAATAACATTAAAGTGTTTCTAGGAAACAGATCACGTATCCTAGGAGCTCGATATTCAAAAGTCCCAAAACGCTAATTCACAGTCAATTTGTGTAATTCAAGGAAGCTAGACAAGAAAAAAATGTTTAATGAATGCAAATGAAAATTTGATGAATTCAAAACCAAATAGACTATTAGAAGAATTCTTTATCGCATGGAGAAGAATATACAAGGTATGTTTTTGTTTTTTTGTATAATGAATCTCTGTCATTATTTTTTTTGAATTTAGTGGTAGTTTTCATAATTTCTCTGTCTCTAAATAACGAATTTCTTGGAGTGCGTATATAAAAATCGTTTGTAATGTACGGTGTCTTAATATACCAGATTGTTTTATTTTTTTTAAATGTTTCTCCGGCTATTGTTCATGATTGATAATTCTTTTTTTAACATTTTAGATTTTATTAATTTATATTTTTCAGTTTCTTCATCCCTATATTAACAACAGATATTTAATTTTTTATGTAATTATGTTTTTTTTTTAATTTTGTCTGCTTAACAGCAACACATAATAAAGAAATTGGTAATTTATGCTTTTCTGCCGAAATAACATTAAAGCTAGCTTAAAAATAACATTAAAGTGTTTCTAGGAAACAGATCACGTATCCTACGAGCTTGATATTCAAAAATCCCAAAACGCTAATTCACAGTCAATTTGTGTAATTCAAGGAAGTTAGACAAGAAAAAAATGTTTAATGAATGCAAATGAAAATTTGATGAATCCAAAACCAAATAGACTATTAGAAGAATTCTTTATCGCATGGAGAAGAATATACAAGGTATGTTTTTGTTTTTTTGTATAATGAATCTCTGTTATTTTTTTTTTTTTAATTTTGTGGTAGTTTTCATAATTTCCCTATCTCTAAATAACGAATTTCTTAGAGTTCGTATATAACTATCGTTTGTAATGTACGGTGTCATAATATACCAGATTGTTTTATTTTTTTTAATGTTTCTCCGGCTATTGTTCATGATTGATAATTCTTTTTTTAACATTTTAGATTTTATTAATTTATATTTTTAAGTTTCTTCATCCCTATATTAACAATGGATATTTAATTTTTTATGTAATTGTGTTTTTTTTAATTTTGGCTGCTTAACAGCAACACATGATAAAGAAATTCGTAATTTATGCTTTTCTGCCTAATAAACTATTTCTTTTCCTAAATATTTTACAATTTGGTTTTAGGCTAAATTATTTTATTAAATGCATTATTTAATGCGTGACTAATAAAAGACAAGTCTCTATAACATATAACTATCGTTTGTTTCATTTAGTTTTTACATTCCCATGTCGAGGAATCGTACTAAGGTTTGATAATAATCAATTTTCACCATTTTTCCTAGCTTAAAAATAACATTAAAGTGTTTCTAGGAAACAGATCACGTATCCTAGGAGCTCGATATTCAAAAATCCCAAAACGCTAATTCACAGTCAATTTGTGTAATTCAAGGAAGCTAGACAAGAAAAAAATGTTTAATGAATGCAAATGAAAATTTGATGAATTCAAAACCAAATAGACTATTAGAAGAATTCTTTATCGCATGGAGAAGAATATACAAGGTATGTTTTTTTTTTTGTATAATGAATCTCTGTCATTATTTTTTTTGAATTTAGTGGTAGTTTTCATAATTTCTCTGTCTCTAAATAACGAATTTCTTGGAATTCGTATATAACTATCGTTTGTAATGTACGGTGTCATAATATACCAGATTGTTTTATTTTTTTTAATGTTTCTCCGGCGATTGTTCATGATTGATAATTCTTTTTTTAACATTTTAGATTTTATTAATTTATATTTTTCAGTTTCTTCATCCCTATATTAACAACAGATATTTAATTTTTTATGTAATTATGGTTTTTTTTTTATTTTGGCTGCTTAACAGCAACACATAATAAAGAAATTGGTAATTTATGCTTTTCTGCCGAAATAACATTAAAGCTAACATTAAAGCTAGCTTAAAAATAACATTAAAGTGTATCTAGGAAACAGATCACGTATCCTAGGAGCTCGATATTCAAAAATCCCAAAACGCTAATTCACAGTCAATTTGTGTAATTCAAAGAAGTAAGACAATTTTTGTTTTTCTGCCGAATACACTATCTCTTTTCCTAGATATTTTACAATTTGGTTTTAGGCCTAATTATTTTAGTAAATGCATTATTTAATGTGTTACTAATGTTATGCATTAATTAATGTGTTTCATTTAGTTTTTACATTTGCATGTCGAGGAATCTCGAAACGAATTTCGTCCACTATTGATATCGCGTTCGCAACATTGTTCTCCATTCCTGCGACTTAACAAATATTTGTCGAAGATTGGCTAATGAAATCCACTCATCTAATTCACATAGCAGCGGAGGTTTCGGATTTCTACTAAAGTGCTAAAATAATCTGTGTATGGTCCGTCCATATGGTGAAGTAGTGGCCCCTGACCTGATAGCGGAAATTCCGTATTGCTAGGTGGATAGCCAAAAGCTCGCAGTCTTGCTTCGCGTAATTTCGCTGTTCTTTGCTAAATACTCTTGATAAAAAATAAAAAAAACTAAGAAGGTGCCATATGCCGCCGTCCTCTTTATGCTGAAGCGCCGCTTCCATAGCTGCGTTTGAAGCATCACTGACAACTACGAGATCTGCTTCTTGATTCGGATGCGCTATGATGGTTGCATTCTTGAGTACTTCTTTGTAGCCCTCGAATGCCCTGATAGAGTCCTTCGTCTATGAGATGTGTGTCTTGTCATTCTTTTTGGCACCGCACAAGTATTGGATTAAAGATGCCAGTACTGCAGCTGCATAGGAACGCCTATAGTAATTTACCATCCCTAGCAAACCTTAGAAGGGCGTAGGTAATTAATAATTTCCTCAAGGCAGTACTGCAACACTATGCTGTGTTATTCTATGTCCCAAAAACTCCAACTCTTCTACCACAAAGATACATTTAGTAAGGTTGAGAACAGAACCATGCTGATTCAGCCGACAAAAGACCTCTTCTAGGTGCATCTTATGTTCTTTTTTGTTTACAGAACCGATGAATAGATCATCCAAGTAAGCATAGACGAAGTCGATTCGGCGTAAGACTGTATCCAGGAACCTCTGGAAATACTGAGCTGCCTTTGGAATTAATTCCATAGCATCTTCGCGTAAACTCGAAGAGACCAACAGGGGTTATGACGGCCGTCTTTGGAATATTCTCCTCGGTGATTGAAATCTGATAATAGGCTGACTTTAAATCTAACTTGCTAAAGACAATGTTCTCGTTATGATTAATGTTGTAATCGGCGATGTTAGGTACTGCGTACCCACCAAGTTTAGTCTTTGCGTTCCGTTGTCGATGATCCCCACAAGGCCTCATACCTCCATCCTTCTTGAGAACTAAATACATATGACTTGCCAGTTGGCTACTAGACGGGTGAAGAGTACCGTTTTGCAACATCTGCTCGAATTCGCTTTTAGCTGCCGCGTACCTTTCAGGATGCAGGCGTCAAGCCTTTGCTGTTAGTGGGTTCCCGCGAGTCTCGTTGAGACGAACAATTGAATGTATTGGTTCTTTAACAAAAGGGGTGGGGCTAGTAAAGCTACTTGTCGACTAATTGGCACCCTGCCAGTTCCACCAAAAGCTTATGGTGAAAAAACCAGTCTGCATCGATGATAGGTTGTCCCACTTCTGTTAAAATAGAGTGTCAGGTTATTCTTTGTCGTAGTCCAAAATCCAACGTAATAAGTCTTTCCCTGTGGAGATAGGATTTCCACTGGCTGCATGTAAGAAAATTCACTAGGTGAAGTCTTCAAAGACTTCTTAGCTGGAAAAACTGACAATACAGCTCGTGTGTCCACTAAGTAGTGCGTACGGGACTGACGGTCAAAAAAGAAAAGACGGCGTTTGACAGGTCTAGTCAACGATTCAACGATAGCAGTTTTCGGCTCAGCTACTGCTAGTTCTAGTTTCTTGATGGCTTTGAATCATTCTTCCAACTGAATGGTGTCACTTCTTAGCCCTTTCGCCGAACCTATCATAAAATAAGCATAGCCTCTTTACTTGATTATTTTATCGACGCTCAAGAGATTTGAAAAGAAACGTTAAAGTGTTAAAACTAAAATTTTCTAGCAAAATTTCGTTAATGAAAATTATAAAAATAATGAAAATTATTAGCCTACGAAATTAATAAAAAAATTTTTTTTTCAATAAAATTATATTAAAAATAAAATTCATATTTTATTCTAAAGAATTACAAATCACTTAATATAATGAGAGAAGAAAAATGTGAAATATAATTATTATTGATAAACTTACTGAGCCTGCAAATGATTAAACTTAAAGTAGGTAAATAAATACCTCTTTACATACAAATACCATTCTCGCTCTGTTTAAATTAAGTTGGAACCCTAAGATTTCTAAATGATATACGTAAAAATTTGCAAATCCTAGACTCCGCTGTTATAAAAATTGCTTTTATAAAATACAACACACCGCCGCGCTCATCTTAAGACCACTCTGTAAGCTTTTTCTTGTTTGAATTGATAACAGTAGAAATCGTGGTTTCTGGATGATAAATGTTCAATGAGCTTTTTGTAATTTTCATTTGAGATTGTATTAATTTTCACATCATTAACTCTGGAAAAACAACTAAAATTTGGCTGACCAATGAATTCTGAAATTTCTTTGCGAAGGACATAAAAATAACAATTTTCGTAACATAAATAGGAGTTAGTTCTGGATCAATCAAACAAACCTTTTGGCTCCGGGGTCCGATTCGTTGAATTGTTGGCTGTAACCACAGGCGGATTTACGGGGGGGGGGGCTTTCGGGCTGAAGCCCACCCAAAATAGTAAAATATAACCATGTTTTATAGAAACAAATATTAAAAACTATCTCTTATATTATTATTGTTCGTGTGATTACATTTAATAGGACTTCAAGAATAACTAAGACACCATGTCATATAAGTAGTTTCTTTCTTTTTTTTTTCAAATTAATTATCGTTATATATATGAAAAAAAATGCTTCGAGCTCAAGCCCCCCCCCAAAATTAAATCCTGGATCCGCTAGTGGCTGTAACTATGTTACTGATAGAAGTAGATGGCGTGTTTGGTTTTGATTTATTATCTTTATTTGTTTTACTACGCGGGGCTGGTGTCGATTTGTTTTTCTTATTAGGAGATTGCCCTCCGACCCGGGGGCAGAGTTTCGGTGGCGCTTTCGCAGTATCCTTCTTTTTAAATATTGTGAATCTGTTTCACTTATTTCCGAAAATGGGATTCTTTCTCCGATTCTTCACAAGACGTATTGTCATCAAGTTCAATTTTAAAGATAAAATAAAGAGAATAAAAAATATATAGTATATCCGAAAACTAAAATGAAACTTTACGGATAAAATGTTTAAAATCTAGAATATTTACAATACTATTTACATAATCGAAATAAAACATTTTCTTAATATACATAAATAAAAATAACGAATCTCAGAGATAGAAAAAGGAAAAAAAAGAAAAATATCGTATAAGTCTTTAGGATCCAACTCGATAACAACTGGAGGAAAGGAATGTTTATATACTGAGCCTTGGCCGTGAATCTAACACAGATAAGGTAAGACCCGCTAGGGGAATTACCTATCAGCTGTCCCTTCTCTTCTAAATTAGTGTCAGTTTATAACTAGATAATTGTTAATAAAGTCTCTCACCTCACTATTTCAATGTGAAAGTGTTCACAAACTCACTGTTTACAATTTGTAGCAGAAATATTTTCATAATTAGGCAGATGACACCGTAACAAACACAGAGCGATACAAGTATTGAGCTTTAGTTGCGGCCATTACTTTTTTATGTATTTAAAATACGAAATAAAGGCATTAGGTATTAGACTGAACACTGATAAGGTACTAACTCTCTGCATTCGCTACATCGCCTTTAGTTCCATCCCACATCTCACTAAGGCGACGTGTCCAACATGTAAATAAGCAGTTACTAGGGAAGACCAAATCTCCCAAGCATTTTTAATTGCAAAAATATATTCCATAGTAAAATTTTCCGACGTTAAGACGTTAAAAGAAAAAATACAACGGAGCTGTTGCAATTCGAGCCACTCAGGAAGACTAAAATAACGTAAGAATGTTTCAAATGACAGGAAGAGTTAAAATAATAATTATTAACGCTAGGGGATACTTTTGTCCGTCAGAGCGGCCCTGGGTATCAAACTTAATCCGAGGACCACGACTTGGTGGAGAGAAAGCTTCTTAGGAGAGAGGACACATGGCCACCGTCGATCGTCTTGCGTTTTGTTCTCCAGACGATCCGGGAAGAGGTGCTACGACTTCGTAGGATAAAAAGGGACCTCACCACGACCCATCTCGGATGGGAGAGTATCCCAATGTAGACAGTGGGAAATAAATAAACAAAAGCAACCGTCATCTTTAATAGATGGCAAGACAGAAAAAGGCAGCCGGAAAAATCGAATACCCTTGGATTTCCAAAGGGCGTGTCTCATTACCAAAATAGAAATAGAATAGAA